ATGAGGGAGAGCTGTCATTTCTAACCCAGCCCAACCCAAAAATTCGGGCCGGGCCAAAATAATATGCTGGATGGTCGGACCGGGTCAGTGTTGGGCTTTTGATTGCGTCAGCGGACGTGTGCGGCTGACAATCCAACTTGGATCACCAGCGTTTGACTGCACGCTGACCGGTCGGTTGAAAGAAGTAAAAAAAAGTCCAGATGGATGATCGCCAGAATGACACCTGAAGCTTAACTGGACTCAGTTGCTGCGTCTGTGGACACATGCAGCTGACGACCCAATTTGGATCATCAGCTGCATGTGTTCACCGACTGTTAATAACTATAATATTATAATACCTATAATATTATAATAACTGTAATAATCCACATAATCTTGTTAATAAACAAGAAATCTTATATTGTCTTGTCTTTGAAATACGCTTTTAAATCATGTCAGACTGATTTGCTTCCAAAAGCAGTAAAAGCTTAACTAAAAAAAAAAGTTTTTTTTTTAAATCGGTTTCGGGTCGGGCTCTGAAAAAAAATGATACGGGTTCGGGCCGGGTCGAGTCGGATTTTTTAGGTCCAAACGCAACTCTGCTAATAGGAGGGGAAACCACAGCCTGAGTTTACAGTTAGTACACAGTCAAACATGTACGGTGCAGTGGAAGGGACAAAATTAAGATTTCTGAGAAACTTGCAGTGAGCTGGCTGGTAACTGGTGGGAAATGAGTTCACACTCATCCTGGGTTGTAGCCACCATCAGCTCATATACTAAATGCAAATGCAGCAGACTTATGTGAATACCATAAATTCTGGACTATTGTGCACACCTGAATATAAGCCACACCCACAAAAAACAAACAAACAAACAAACAAACAAAAAACAATAATTTTGTACATATACAGGCTGCGCTTGTCTATAAGCCACAGGTTGTAACACAAGATATATACACGGAAAGATTTAAAAAACTTTTTTGTTAAATACAGACTGGAAACATACACAAATACTTATTGTAAACTTTTTTTTTCTGGACAGTGTCTGGTGAAAAAGAAAAATACAGTAGCCTACCAGGAAGTCATTGATCAATATCTTCATCTTCCTCCTGCGCACTTGAGCTTGTGCTGTCAGCTGGAGCGCCACTTTAAATCATTCGCCCCACTCTGGGCCCATGAGCAAGGCCCTCAACCCCCATCTGCTCCCTAAACAGGTCTCTCATCGTGGCTCAATGAGACTACCTGGATAAATAAAGGGTAAATGAAAAATAAAATGCACGATTCACAAATGTGTGGCTGCAAATCCTTCGCTGTGCCCCCCAGAGGGTAGGGAAACTAAGTCCCGCCCCCTATCCAATGTCACCTTTTCAGTAATGTTTTAACCATTTTTATACAGGTAGTCTCATTGAGTCACGTGGACCGCCCCCCAAGAGAGACGTGCAGTGGGCAGCTATGTGAGCGACCAGAGATCACTGATCTCTTTTGCAAGGGAGGCAGTCTAACATGCATGTTTTTGGTCTGTGGGAGGAAACCAGAGTACCCAGAGTAAACCCACGCAAGCACGAGAAGAACATGCAAACTCCACACAGATAGACCCCAGGTCCAACTGGGGATTGAACCTAGGACTTTCTTGCTGTGAGGCAACAGCGCTAACCACTGACCCATCGTGCTGCCGAGTTCAAAGCATGTGAAAAACGTAGCGGCTTATAGTCTGGAAATTACGGTATACGTCTGTGGACCTGGTGAATGTTAGTCTGAAGCTCTTTTCATAGATTGATTACATCTTATTGGAACAAAATAAAATAAAAAGATGCTCAGGTAAAGCTGGTGTTTTCTTTTTTTCTCTCATGTCAAGCAGAGGCAAGAGCTCGGTGGCGTGTTGGTGTGCGCTTACAAAAACTGAGCCAGCATCACAGTACAATTAGAACAACGTTGGTTCGAGCGTCGTGCTGAATACATTGTCCACTACTTTACACTGACACACCAACTCAGCTCTGTGACTACCTCTGGTACTCTTCAGAGGAGTCTAAGTGTCGGACTGACTTCTCCTCTCCTTGGTCATTTCACACATGACGCTGCAACAAAACCAAATCAAATCCGGCTTAACAAGCTCAACATGCCCACTCGTCAGATTTTTTTCTGAGGAATCAGAAGGAAAGGACCAAAATATTTAGTATAATAGCTATGCTAACCTAATCTGATGAATTGTATGAAAATATATAACTGAACACTCTTTTTCGTTAACGTTTCCATTATTGACTCGAAAGTTTTTATATTCACCATTCATCATGAAAAATAAAGTTCTTAAAAAAAAAAAACCAAGATAAAGAAATATTTCTTGGTACGGCTTCTTTTGCCATTTACAAAAACCTTTTCCAAGACAACTTATAGTTGTTTTTTTTACAGTGACTTTGTTTCAAGCCTTATTTCTGCTCTGCGTCTCCATCTGCCTGTCTCGTCTGGAGTGCTGTCAGGGAGTAGCAAACACAGGCGTGTGGTTACCATGGCGATTTCATACTGGAGGGTGAGAAGTAGTGGAAGATTGTGACAAATCAAAGCTTTTTTTAAAAGACTCAAACTTCAAAATTACTGTGGATTACTTTTGACTGATGTTCATTCTGCCTTTATTCTCTCAAAGAACGTCCTTGTTGTTGTGTGACATTATCTGCATGCTGGCAAAGTCTGTATTGTTCTACAGAGAGCAGACTGATTGCTGTCTACCAACCACTCATAATACACCACAACCCAACTTAACAGACTTATCAAAGCTATCATATACAGAAATATGATGTTTGAAGTTGAATTAAACTGTCTCATCCTGGAAGAACAGATCTGAAGAGCTGCATTTGTGCAGCTCAACACAGCTGCTGGTGCTGGAGATGTGGATCAGCCTGGCAGGCTGCAGCACATCACAGCGTTCACTCGATGCACCTTCTCCCCACCGAACCCTCCCAAGGCTGCCAGTGACGCCTGGAGATATGAGAATGAGCAGAGGAAAAGTTCTGCTTGTGACCCGAGGTGTGAAAGTGATGGCAGCCCAAGGAATGGAGGCACATTGTGTAGGGTTTATCCTCTGAGCAGTAACACACACACAACTCTGCTCTCTCTTCTATCAGCAAACCTCAGCTGGGTCTGATGGATGAGTTGGAAACACACCAAGGACTCCAGTGGCTACCTGCTGTTTCCGTAGAAACACAGCCTGCATGGCAGCTCTACCTGAACACAGCTGGAGGTTTCGGTGTTTTTTTTATTTATTTTTTTGTCTATTTGTGCTCACCCAGTTGGATTCTAAAGGCGCTCTATGGCAGCAATTACCGTTTATTATTTTAGGTGATTTACGTGCACAAACGCAGTGAATGGGCAGTGGTAAATTTCCATTTGAGGTTAGAATGAGAGAAGTAGAGGATTGATTATTTGAGGAAGCAGGTAAATACGTCAGGCGTGTGGATCAATGATTTCTAACAATCCGTGACCTGTCCAGGGTGTAGCCTGCCTCCTGCACAATGGCCGTGGGCGCTCGGCACAAACATTCCTGACATGACTTAAAAATGAAAAAGTGGGGAAAGAAAAAGAATGGATGGATGGTTTGAGGAGAAAAAGGCTTTATGTAAATCAGATTGTCCTAAAATTTAAAGGAGTGTGTATATTGCTGAGTAACAAAAGTTGCAAAACAACAAAAAAAAAAAAACATGTTGATATAAAACCTTTTTGGCAAATGTAATTATCGGCTCAACTGTTATTATCATACCGTGGCAACACATGATGTGAAAGTTTAAAGTGACCTTTTAAAAAAAAATTTGCTCTTGCAGGACAACTTTTAAGGTGATAAGGTGGAGAAAAATATACTTTGTGTGGTAAATTGAACATTTTGTTTATTATTTCTTATTCAGTGGTTGCCATTTTGCAGTAATATGCTATATGAATGTTCAAAATCTCAAATATCTTTCTTTTCAGTACAAATCATTAGTTGGCAGATAGCACTGTAAAATTATTTGGGGTACAATTCAATGCACCTAGAGCAATTCAGAGTGACAAAGATCAGCCATGACTTGATGACTTGCTTCAACATCGTGTCTGTGTAGTCTTTTTTTTTTTCATAGTCTTGTTAAATACAACTTATGCACATATAGTTACATTATTGACAAGCTAGGACAAAGCTTGGTAGAAAAGTGTCTGAAGCAGATGAGGGATTTTATATTGTGATTCCCTACAGATTAGTTTTAAAAATATCTGGTGACTTTTGGTGGTTTAAACTGGTGAGTTTGAGTTCAGCCTTGGTATTTTACAATGTACATGCATTTGATTAACTGTAAGCTAATTTAAGCTAATTCTAATTATTTTAGGCTAATGTGGAGCACCAGCAACTCCTTACACATCAGCAAACACACCCTGGGCAGCTGTGGCTGAGTGCTTAGAGCAGTCATCCTCCAATGCAAGAGTTGGGGTTCGATTCCACCAGCAGTCACATGCCGATGTGTCCCTGGGCAAGACACTGAACCCTTCATTGCCTCCGATGTGTGCCCCATCAGTATATGAATGTGATAAAGCTCTGATTAATCTTTGTAGTAGAGTAGAGATCTAGTAGAGAGCTGTATGAATGGGTAAATGAGGACACAGATTGTGTTGTAAAGCACTTTGAGAATCTTGATAAGATAGAAAGGTGCTATACAAGTACAGTCCATTTACCAATGCCCAGTGGATTTGAAGTGTTCTCTGGCTGTAGTTCAGATTAGCCAATCAGTGTCTCTTCTGACTACAAAAGACCGAGTGAAACGACTTTTCAAATAACTTGCCCCTTTAAGGCAGAGCTCAATAAGTACTACTCCTAAAGAGTAGTGTCTATAATGCAGAATTACATATGTGTAGCAGGTGAGCGTTCATTAAACAGCTTATGTGAATATATAACATAATACCATGGTGCCTATTCACTTGTATGTGTACATATAAAACAAATAAGAGATGGTGGGGGACGGTGTAGTCACATATGGTATACATTTGTTGATAATGTAGGTGTTCACATACCTGCAGATAGTGGAAGGTCCTCTCCTTTAGCTTACTGTCCATGGGCACTAGAGCTTTTTCATAAGCTCCACCCCTGGAGGAAGGATAAACCTCTCTGGCCTGGCTCACTGTCATGGCTGACCAGGTGCTCCTTTTCAGAGAATGACCGTGGTGCCCATGATGTCCTCCTCCCTCACTTCCAGCTATAGCCATAGTTGTACATGCCATGCACTCGCCAGACCCAGGTCCACCACCACGCTCTTTTGGTTTTTGCATGGTGAGCTCCTGAATAGCAGCATCCAGGCTCTCGTGCCCACTGGGATACCCCCGTCTACCCCCACTGACCAAGAAACTGCTGTCGCTGTCCAGATTGTCGTCAGAGCTCCACCAACCTGCCGTTCTGCTACGATGACGTCTGCCCGACTCGTGCCGTGAGTCTCCACTCTTGCTACGCTCTCGAGACTTACTCCTCCTGGTAGAACGAGACTGGTGGCCAGAGTAGTGGCCATCCTCCCCTCCACTCCGATGTCCTCCTCCTCCTCTTTCACTCCGGTAGTCTCCACCTCCTCTCGTGCCATTGTACTCTCGTTTGGATGGTGCTTCCAGTGAATGGGACTTTGCGAAAAGGCGCTGAACAGAATTGACCAAGTGGCGAATACGCGATGGGCTTTCGCTACGTTGCTCGGTGCCCCCGCTTGCAGTGCGCTGGTACTGCAATGTGTGAAAGCCATCAGGGTGGAAGGGTACCTGCTTCTCAAACTGGTCCATCAAGTTAGGGGGAATGCGGTGCATCTTCCCTCCGTGGCCTGAAGATAGGCACTCCTCGCAAGAGTCAAATGACTGAAGAGGTGGGTGCTGGCTAGGGTGTGATCGGGGAAAGGTTCCCCCTCCAGAGTGGCTATGGGAGTGTGAGTGTGCATGTGAATGGGAGTGATGCCTCTCCAGTGCCAGAGCCTCAGCTGGACCTCCTGGTGGATAATAATGGCCATCGCTGTGACCATGGTAATAGTCTCTGCCCAGGCCATCACAGTCCTCAGGAGCACAGTGGCAGGGGCCTCCTCCGCCACCACCAGAGGAGTGCTGAGACATGCTACGGCTGACATGATACCCTTTCATAGGCGCCGGACCATGGTGGGCAGTCCGGGCCGAAAGGGGGCGCTGTGGGCGTGACAGGGTTGCACCGGTCTCACCTGGAGGCAGAAGAAAAACAATTATTTAGCAAGGGTGGAGATTATAATCTATTTTTGATACATTGCTATTGGGAATTTATAAATATCAGAAACTGATTATAATTCAATGTTTACAACATCATGTTGAAGAGCACAGTAGGTGGAACTGATGTGGAAGTGCAGCAACCCAACCATTTTTGGCCAGTGGTAGCTACAAGTCACTGCTGCTATTCAAGGACCAATGAGTGAGCAATGGCCAAGTTTCCACCTACCTTGGAAAAAGTAAAGCAAATTACAAAGCCCATTGCAACTTTTATTGCAAAGGATTTGCATCTGAATTCATTAGTTTAAAACCAGTGCTGGCGCACTGAGTTTTCAAACTTTGGATTATTCTTTGTTGACGTTACTAATACAGCCATTCCCACACTCTATAATGAGGCCAGAAAACCTTTGAAACACTGATGAAGGTGGGTAAGAGAACTCCAACATGTGATGCATGGACCACTGCCACAGAGTATGGCGCCACTTTTCTTTCTTTTGTTCATTTAGTTCCAAAAATCTTGTTCGAACTGCAGTGAAAGGCAAAATAATTAATTTCTTTTAAGTTTGAGATTATTTGCTCAGGTTTTAGTGTGGTTATGGATGCATCAAAGAAGACGAAGGAGATGGTCATGGACTTCAGAAGGAGCCCCCCCCCCCACCCCCCCCCCCCCCCCCCCCCCCCCCCCCCCCC